GAGTTTTCTGCCTTGCCCGTCCGTTTAAAGGACCAGTGAAACCAAAAAATCCATTGATTCCCACCTTCAGATGGTCGCGTCCGAGTCGCAGACGCTGAACCGCAAGGCGAAGAAGTCCGGTGGTGGAGGTAGAAAGTCGAAGAGCAAGTCGGCTGAGGCGCCGAGCCGAGCGGACGCGTCGCGTGCCGCCAGCGTCGGCCAGCAGAAGAAGAACTTCCTGAAGAAGGACTACGAGAATCCGGAGGACTGGACTCTTGGCACGACGACGGGCAGCCAAGTGGTGGGCTAGCAGAGATGCTTTCCGGAATTATAGAGGCATGCTAGCAGAGATCCCTGAGGAAATTCGAATTTGGGTCTAAATACGATTAAAAACTAGATTTTCTAAGAATTCAGTCCGTCGCCCAGCCTGTCTCCCGTGCCCAGAGCCCCAGCCCGAAGCGCAAGAATAAGGAGCCGAAGCGGAAGGGAAACCGAAGGCCGGGAAGCGCAGGAAACAGTCGAAGGAGGGCGGGAAGAAGGGCGATCGCCGCTCGCGCGACGCGACGCGCAGCAAAACCGAGAGGGTAGGGCAGGCTGGCAGAGATCATCTGGGAGACGGCAAGCTAGCAAAGACCCTTTAGCTCCAATTTTTCCAGGAAGACGACAGCGGCACGCGCTTCGCGCTCCCGCTCACGCGGAGACCGTCGCAAGCGCGACAACACTCGCACCGCTGGAGATGACCGGACGGCCGAGAGCCGTCAGCAGACCGACCAGAGCGCCCGTCGCAACCGCAACAAGCTCAGCAAGGTCAGATTAAAGGGCAGACAGCAAGGCGTACGTTTGTAGGAGAAGAAGCGCCCTGTCGACTCTCGAAACGCGCGCAGCAGCAGCGCCGTCCCGTCGAAGGAGTGCACCCAGCAGCACGATTACCCGATGGTCGGGGCTCACCCGTCTCTTTCGCTATCGCGCTCTCTCCGCTCTCTGTGGCTCTAATCAAAAATTTCTGCAATTTCCAGAATTTCCCGACGTCAAAGGACAAGACACGCGACATCTCCCCGAGCCCCAGGCGCAGTGGGAAGAAGCCAAAGAAGCTGTGAACGAATCGATACGCCCCTATTTCCAGACAACTCCGTGTTTTGTATCGTATCGTATTGTATTTTCCGTTTCATTGTCTCGAGTGGAATAAATGGCTTTTCATGGGAATTTTATAGAGTTTTTTTTTTAATTTTAAAGAGTCTTACCTTAGAGAATGGAGAGCGAAATGAAGCAGGGAAACTCGCCGACTTTGAACTTAAAGGGTCCAGGAAGCCTGTCTCGGCCTCTGCTTGCGCGCTGATTCCTGGCAAAAGCCAGATGCGGCTGCAACGCATGTGCTCCTGTCCCAATTTGGAGGTGAAAATGCAAGAAATGGAAAATTCTGAGGACTGTTTTAGAAAATTCGTCGAGGATTTTTGCCGAGCAGCATGAATCCCACGGGAATTCTTGATGAACCAAAATTTTTTGAAACATGTTTTAGTGATCGAAATTTCTTGATCATGATGAGCCTTAAATCTCTCAAAACTTCATGGTAAATCGGTGACCAGCCTAGCCTAAAAGACCAAGAAGCCTCTTCTGGAACCACTGATTTTTTGAGACAGCTTTTCGTAAATTTCATTTTTTTTTTGATTGAGGATGAGATTGATTTTTTATCTTGTTCGTGGAGCGGCCACCATCGAATCTTAAGGGACCAATAAGCATACCCATATGAGTTTATACCTAGATTCTGAGGCCTTTCTTTGAGAAAATTTACGTCGCAACTTTAGAGTTCTTAATTCCAGTTATTAATCTCGTCAAAGCCTGCCGGAACCACTGATTTTTGAAACATGTTTTTGCGTGATTGAAGTTCTTTGATCAAGATGAGCAGCAAATCTCTCAAAAATTGATGGTAAAGCGGCGACTAGCCCAGCCTAAAAGACCAACAAGCCTGATCCATACCTCCTGAGCCCCGCTTCCTGGCAAATAGCCAGATGAGGCCGCGACGCGAAACGGCAAGGAATTGAAGTTTCTGAGGTCAAATTTGAGGGTTCCGAGGTTTTTTCCGAGGGTTTTCAAGGGCATTAATTGGTCGAAGGCATTAACCTCGTTAAAAGTTTCCGGAACCATAATTTTTTTGAAACATTCTTTCGTAAATTTGATTTTTTTATTGAGCATGGGCATTAGCTCGTTGAGCGGATGCTTGAGCGGCCACCAGCCTTTCATAAAGGGGCTAGGAAGTTTGATTGACGACTCAATTCCTGGAAAATAGCCAGATACGGCCGCGATATGACTTACCAATTTGGAGGTAAAAATGATGCAGGAGAAATCGGAAATTCGAAAAATTTTCCTTGATTAACGCCTGATTTTCCTGGATTTTACCATCCACTGTGAAACATCTATCAACCTCGTTAAAGCTTCCGGAACCAGAAATTTTTTGAAACATGTTTTCGTAACTTTGATTCGTTTTTTTCGATTGAGCATGAGCATTAGATCTTGATCGTGGAGCGGCCACCAGCGTATTCTTAAGAGACCAAGAAGATACGACCACAATGCGATCGCCCCGCCGTGATTTTTTGAAACTTGTTTTTGTAAGTTTGACAATTTTTAATTAACATGAGCACTAAATCTATGGAAAAGGGATGTTAAGGCGGACCAGCGTATCTTAATGGCTCCAGGATGATTGATCCACCCCCCGCCCCCTCTCCGTCCTCGATTCCTGGCAAATGTCCAGTTTTGGCCGCAACGCGACCGCGCCGCATGCATTCCTGACCCTACTCGAACTTGAAAATGCAAGTATTTGCAAATTCTGAGGCCATTCTTTGAGAAAAGTCGAAGAAAAGAGAGAAAAAAGCAGAGCGATTTTTCCCGTTTTTCAAGGGGTTTTGTTTTTAAATCCCGAAACTCATAATGGCGAACACTTTAATCGACACCTATTAAAGTCGTAGAAATTTCCGGGAACGAGTGATTTTTTGAAACATGTTTTTAAGGTTTGTAACTGTTTTAAATGGAACCAGGGTTGAAATGCCGCTTCGCGACTTTTCAACCCTGGTCCCGTCTGACCCCATTTTATCCTTCAGTTTGCATAATTGTCCTGCAATTGCAAACGACAAAAAATGAAAAACAACCTCTCCCATCCGTTATATAGCCGAATCCCCACTTCCGGTCTATGCTAATTATACCTAACAAAGAAGTTTTCACAAAAACCTAAATTTAATGTCGAAAATAGGTGATTTTGTTGAATCTAAAATGCGTGCAGTCATCTCCAGACCATTGCGCACCTAATGACGTATCATACGTACTTTAAGATTCATCCCCTAGCGAGATATCCTCCGGAAAGACAGACGGAAGTGGATGCAAAGTGGCACACACACACACACACACAAACACTATTTTTCATATATAGTAGGATTTGTAATAAGTGGTGAGCGTTAAAACTGTTGTTAACTACTGCTGTCGCTCTCTATCTCTCTCTGTTTCGCTCTCTCTCTCTCTCTCTTTCTCTCCCTCTCTGCCTCTCTCTCTATTTATGATTAATTCATTTATTCAAAAGACAATAGCACAAATAATAAATGATCGGAATCGTCGATCGGATCGGAACGAATTGAAGACGTTCAGCTGGTTATTCGGTGGCCGACTCGGATGTGGCGCTTGATGGGGTACACGAGTCGGTAGTTGATCGGAAGGGGGCCAACGCGAAGAAGGAGGGAGCCGAGGGGTGGGGCTGCAGGCGGAGACGTCTGAAATGAAAGGGGTAGGCTAGCAGAGATTCTTTGGGAAGGGCAGGCTAGCAGTGATCATTTGAGAAATCCACCTTTTCGCCGAGAGACATGCCAAGAAGTTGACCAACGCGAATACGCCAGAAAGCACGATCAGCACCAGGTGGGCGCCGAAGACGACGACTTGGAGGCTAGAAAAAATTATCATAAAAATCGCAGCCCCCCCCCCCGCTAACAGTCCAGTCCCCGTTGCTCTAAAATCCCTGGTAACCCACGATGAGTCGTCCTCATTTTCCGGCGCATCATCCATCATCGGCCGGGTAGTTTTTGGGGGTGAAAATGTATTTTTTTAACGTGAAAATTGGAATATTAAATTTTTTAGGTATGTAAATGGTATCGATATGGAAATAACAATTTATTTCTGGAGACAGCTGTGCAATTCCGCGTAACACAAAGACAATCGTGAACTATATGAGGAAAATCGATCAGCGGGTTTTCGAGGGCGGCGCACCGGGACCTTCGAGTTCGGAGGTGGTCGAGTCTGGAAAAGGGAGGCGCACTAGTCTCTCGCGCGCGCCTCCTCTCTCTCTCTCTCTCTCTCTCGCCTCTCACGCTCTCTCGCTTTCATCTCCTCTATCATCTCTCCTCACTCTCTCTACTCTCTCTCTCTTTTCTCTCTATCTCTCGTCTCGCTCTCCCTCCCTCTCTCTATTTCTCTCGTCTCGGTCTCGCTCTCTTCTCCCTGTCTCTCGCTACCCGTCTCCCGCCTCTCTCTAACTAGCGGCAGGCTAGCAGTGACTCTTTGCGGAATCCGACCCACTTGGTGTTTTGGGCGTCTTGGCATGGACGGGCGGCTTCCGCTTCTTCAGCCAACAGTAGATGGCCACGCACGAGGCGATGATGAGCAGGATGAGGAGGGCAGACCGATGAGCACGTATTTCAACGGATCCTGGAAAGTAAGGAATTCCTCAAAGAATCCCTGCTAGCCTGCCATTAAGCCGAAAACCTACCGCTTCTATCCGGAGTAACGGAGTTCGCCCGCCGGGCCTGTCGTCTCGCCAGGTTTACCACCGAAAATAAGTTTTTCGCCCTTAGCATTATCGGGGGGGGGGTGTTCCGGAATGTTTTAGATCGTTTTCCACTTCAAATAGAATGAAATTTTACTAAAAACATCTTTTAATATATACCCCCCGATAATGCTCAAGCTCCAAAATGGACCCACTCCTTGCCGTCGGGTTGCCCTGGATTTTGTGGATTTCCGGAGGGCTTACGCGTGGCCGGGGGAGGCTAAACATCGAGTCCCGAAAACGCTGCGAGAGCTACCGGCTTGACGTCCATGTCGGCGTCGACGTAGCCAATGTAGTTGGACTCCGAGCACTTTGTCGCGTTCTGAAGTCAGTCAGGCTTAGGCTTGGCTTAGGCTTGGCTTGTGCTTGGCTTAGGCTTGGCTTAGGCTTGGCTTAGGCTTGGCTTAGGCTTGGCTTAGGCTTGGCTTAGGCTTGGCTTAGTCTTGGCTTAGGCTTGGCTTAGTCTTGGCTTAGGCTTGGCTCAGGCTTGGCTTAGGCTTGAAACGAACCGGCCGCTTTTTCTTCTTCCCCAATGAGACGATGCCGATGAACAGCTTGGCGAGCTGGGGGTCGGCTAAATTGCCGTTTTTTTCAAGGCGTTCGGTGACGTACCAGAAATCAGCTTCTTCGGGGCGACGCCGGGGCCGGATCCTTCTAAAGATTCGAATTATATCCGGGTATAGGTAACGGCTATAGGGCTAAACTTACAGTACGGAGCAGTTACGGAGCAGTACAAGTTACGTACTGCACTCGCACTCGTCGTCCCGCACGACGGTGCTCGTCTCGTAACAGCCAGCGTCACTTCCGTTTCGCGTCGTCACCGAGAAGCACATCACCGACGGCTCGTCGCATACTGTAAATACCTAGGAATTCGAGGCCGGCAAGCTAGCAGAGATTATTTGGGATGAGGGAGAGGGGGAGGGGGCAGGCTAGCAGAGATCATTTGGGATGAGAGAGGGGGGGGCAGGCTAGCAGAGATCATTTGGGATGAGAGAGAGGGGGAGGGGCAGGCTAGCAGAGATCATTTGGGATGAGAGAGAGGAGGAGGGGGCAGGCTAGCAGAGATCATTTGGGATGAGAGAGGGGGAGGGGGCAGGCTAGCAGAGATCATTTGGGATGAGAGAGAGGGGGAGGGGCAGGCTAGCAGGAGATCATTTGGGATGAGAGAGAGGAGGAGGGGGCAGGCTAGCAGAGATCATTTGGGGAAAATTACCGTAGCGGAATTCATTGTCCTGGAGTTCGAATATCTCGCTGAAGAAGACGCGGCTATCCCGGTCCGGAGATGAGCTAAGAAATGATAGTTAATCTTTTTTGAAAACCCACGAAGTCGTCGGCATGGATGTGGCACGGTCGGGGATTTTTGTTCTTGGCGATCGGCGGCTCGGTGACGCTGCAGTAGAAGATGGCACCTGAAAGGAACGGTGTCGCGCTTCCGAAAATGATCTCTGCCAGCCTGCCCACCATCTGTGGCTGTCAAAAGCAGCAGGAAGAAGCCGAGCAGGTGCATGAACCTCGGAAAAGTGCGCAAAAACGAATTTTGAATTTTAGAATACGCCAGAATGCAAATTGCCATCGATGCAATCTAGCAGCGAGAGAGTGGGAGTGAGAGAGAGGGGAGAGAGAGAGAGAGAGAGAGAGAGAGAGAGAGAGAGAGAGGGGATAGAAATGGAGAGGAGAGGCTGACTAGCAGAAATCCTTCAGGAATAACTTTTCCAGCAACACCCGCTTTTTCATATTTATTCCAGAACACCAGAGTAACCCGGGAAAGTTGTCTAATTCTTCAACCCGGATGCACCATCAAGCTGGCGTCGTCTCGGGGGCTTTTCAGAGGCAGTCGGCGGGTCCGACGGGTCATCAGAGTTGGAAGTGGCGCGCTCTGTAAAGCGTGTACTCTCTCTTTCTAGCTCTCGCTCGCTCCCTCTCACTCTCTCTCTCTCTCGCGCTCTCTCTGTCTCTATCTCTCTCTTTCACTCACTCTCTCTCGCTCTCTCTCTATGAGTTAAACCCCCACCAGAACCCTCAAGCGTCTCGGCCCTTTTCGCAATTCCGAAGTACACGCAGGCAAGGACGGTGATGAAGATGGTCAGGGGAATGGCGATGATCATCCCGGTATAATAGTATGTCTCGAAGGGTCTGAAAAGCGAAGCGGATTGCTCTAAAAATGCCCTAAAAAAATGATTTGCATTTTGTTATGGCGCCGTAGAAAATCAAAGGGAAAAAATTACTAAAAACTGGAAAAATCGAGAACCGCACAGGTTGATCCCCCAGGCCGATCCCCAAGTTTTGTACCTCAGCTCCCCGTGGTGCTAGAAAGCTTTACAGTATACCCGGGCTGCGTCTTGGCCTGGGGAGTATTTTGGTATACTTTACGGCCCAGTAGCACATCATTGAGCTAAGCTACGACAGTTGGAAGCCCGGGAATTCGACGCGTCGCGTATCGCGACCCGAACCATAGGTCCAACTTCCCGTCGTGCTACAGGGGTGTCAAGTATATCAAAATGTGCGCCCGGGGCTGGGGAGTATTTTGGTATACTTCACGGCCCAGTAGCACATCATCGAGCTGAGCTACAACAGTTGGAAGCCCCAAGGAGTTCGACGCGTCCCCCGCTAACGGCCCAGAACCGCTTATTTTGAGTCCAGTGCTTTAATGTTCACCCACATATGATCATCAGCCTGCACGGCGGGGTGTGGTGAAGTTTGTGGAGAGAGCCAGGGAGGGTACTGCTAAATGCTATTTCCACTAATAAAATTTCAACTACCATGTGCTCTGTGAGGTTCACATTTTCCGGATAATAAGCTGTAGTACTGCCGCCAAACATCGGCATCTAAATAATGCGGATTACAGCGCGTCGAAAACCTGGGCCAGGCGAACCCAATCTTGGTGGCGTTGTGAATTAAAGAGCTCGTACTGGTCTACCCGTCCCCGCACTTACCGGGTTCAGTTTCTTCGTCGACTGGACGGGACCATCTGCTCATCGCTGGAAAAGGGGGTGCTGGGGGCAAGACTCTAGTTTACTCCCTCTCTCTCGCAGCCGGTACTCACTCATCAGAAATCTGAAATTTTCTGTTCATTTACAATAAAAAAGTATACCAAAATGTTCGTCTTGCTCTGACGAGTATTTTGTGGTATACCTTTACACACCTGTAGATGAACAGCGAGCCAAGATATTGGAGGTGGGGTCGGCTGGGTGGGTTATCTGGAGTTTAGCCCGGTAAGACTCTAGTTTAACCCCCCAGCCCAAACTTTTCAATTAAGGTAAGTCCTATTAATGCGTGGAGTATCTCAAAATAATATCGGAGTCGACAAACAACCATGCTGGCACAAACCATGTTGCAAAAAGGAAAAAATGGTTAGAAAATTTTTTTACAAGATTTTGGAATGAGAAAATATTAAGCCGCTGTGCTTCAATGTACCAGGAGCAAAAAACCTAAATATTTTGTTTTCCGCTATTTTTTCGACTCAAAAACATTGTAGGCTATTCTCCAGAGCAAGGGCTACATTTTGCAATACCATTGACAGCTCTGTACGTCAAAAGATAGCCGAGATACGAAAACCCACTTTGGAACAGCAAAGATTAACTAAAGAAAACCCAGACTTATAATTTTTCTAAAAATTTTTCTAACAATTTTTGGATGGGGGCAGAACAACGTTTTTATAGTAATTCGACCACGGGGAACATTTTGAAATACTCGGCGCATTAATAGACGTATGGCTGAAAAGTTGCGGCTGGGGTAAAACCAGACTTTAGCCGGTTTTAGAGACACAAGAAACGGTGGAAAAATACAAAAAACCCACTGCAGTAATCCCCTTGACGTGTCACATTTAGCATGCACTTCAGCATGGGGTGTCTCTATTCGCCTCGGCGTCCACGCGAAAAACGCACCACTTCGCCAATGCGGGCCTCCCAGTCCTCCGGCGTGCCGTCCTGGAAATTCGAGTCCTCCTAGAGTTCTCTTTCTACCACCTACCCATCGCCAGCCGTGGATTGGATGAATGTCGGTTGGCCAAATTTTGTGGCACTTGCACACTAAAATTCTACAGGGTGTCCCAAAATTATCCGGACAAAGTTTCAAAGCGGTTTCTTCCTATTTTTCCCTTGCACTTCAGTTTTTATGTTATTTAGGAGGCGAAAAATTCTTAACACGCTCTTCTCGCTCGCTTGTGAAGCTATTAATGCGTTCTCTGCTGATTTTTTTCGCACGGTGCATCGAAAATGCCTCAAAAAATATTATGAAATACAATGTAAGTCCGAAAACAGCGGAAAAATTGAAAAAGTCAGTTTTCAGTTTTGTCCGGATAATTTTGGGACATCCTACAGAGGGATGTAAAATTCGGTAAGACTCAGGAAAACATTTCGTAGCCGGCCTTTGTATATCGGCTGCCTGTTCAGTTACAGATGGGCAAAGTAGACCAAAATGCTCGTCTTGCTCTGGCGAGCATTTTGGTATACTTTACACACTCCAGTCAACAGGGAGCCGAGATACCGTAGGTGAGTGCCGGCTGGGGGACTTGAAGCGCACGTTCAGGGACGCTTTTTTTGGAAAAAAGGATTTTGCCGCGGCCGGGAGTCGAACCCGGGCCTCCTGATTGGGAGACGCGGTCGCATGCCAGTCAGCCACCGCTACAACCTGGCGAGGGGGTGAGGGGCGCCCGATGCAAAGGGAGGGGAATGGCCTGGCTCAGCACCGGCAGGCCCTGCGCGCGGTATCCCTTAGCCGTCCAAAGGGTGTACACGTTGTAAGGAGTACAGGTTCCCTCCCGGAACGTGCGC